CTTTACATATTTTATTGTTTATAATACGTTTCGGGGTAACACTCCCCATCTTCAGCACATTAATCTCTACAATCATGAGCAATAAACATATTAATATAATTTACATATATTCTTGTTTAAACTATTTTAATATAATAGTAATATAGACAAATGCATATCTTGTCATTATAATTTATTGAAGAAAAAAATCATTAAAGTCAATCTCTAAAAATGTACAGGGTGCTAAAGTTCATTTATCTGGTCTATTTCAGGTTACATAGTAACATTAGTAAAGGCTGTTAGGCCGTTTAATGGATACATGATCATGTAATAAACTTTAAAGATGACTCATCTTTAATAAATGGTAATGACAAGGTATTACATAAATGGGAGTGGAGTAGCTCAATGGTAAGGTGTTGACTTTCTGGGCTCAATGTCTCAGATTCGAGTCCGGCTGGTGGCAGATAAATTATTTGTTCTGTTTCTTCAGCCGTGGATCGACCTTACATAATTTATTAAAGGGGAAAACCTAGCGGTTGAGCGTGATCTCGGTCAAATCACCTTCTTGCACAACCGTTGGCCACGAAAAACGAACTACTGTTCGTTAAAGGTTCTAGTGTTTTTTTTTTATTATATAAGTAATAAAATATTTGAAGCTATTCAAATTTTTGTAAATGACTCTAGATATTATCAACATGGTTTTCTAATAAATTTGAATATACATTAGTTATGTATTTTCGTTTCGAACTGATCCGGTGCTTAAAGTATTGATAGTTCTCTAGAGTATGTTATTTTTTTACATCTTGCTATTTATCTCTCTCTCATATACAGGGTATCCCGTAAGCAGAAGGAAATCTTTAAAAGGTTGATAGTAGACATCAAGATCTACAAAAAAGTTCATACAAACAATTGCTTAATTGCCATCAGAAAAGTAGGAAATTTAAGATTTGTGTTTTTTAAGCGAGCCACGGTTTTTGTTGAAGCGATAACTTAAAAAACATTTGATTCATGTAATTAAACATTGCTCCATAGTAAACTAGACATAATTTTCTTTAAAAGAATGTAAAGATGGTGATTGTTAAAACTATTTAATGAGGAATATTGAGCGGACATAAACAGCGAAGTTTCGTTTTAAAAAAGTCATAAATTATTTGTGATTTTTCTTTATCGCCCTTCAACTGTATTATATTTACCCCACTTTTATAAAAAAAAAATTCCCCGTTTAATAAGCTTAAATTGCATACTAATTGAGTTGAGTTTTATACGGGAAAAGTTTGAGATTCACCTCAAGTTGTTTAAAGAAATAATGTGATTTTCTATCCAGTCACCTACAAATACCTGTGTTGTCAGCAAAAATTACTACAAATACCTGCTGTACATCTTATATTTATTTTTCCTGTGATATGGGAAGTGTTTTAATAAACATAATTGCCTAAAAACACATCTGGCTTATAAAAATTTAAAAAAATGATGATTTTTCTAACATTTTTCATGTAAGTTGGTTATGAGATTTTGTTATCATACAGATTTCTATCAGAGGAATTGATGTTTATTAGTCCGTGGTACAGACCCCTTTTTATCGAATTATTAACATCCACATAAAACTTTGTAAATAGTTTCATCTCATCGTAACCTACAACTATTTTATTTAAGACTCGTGGAAGTTACATCATATATCATATCATATTTAAAATTATAACCAATGATGTTTTTATCTAAACATGATGTAACTTCCACAATTTTCTATATCTTTTTGTATCTTGTCCGTCTAGCCCTGAAGAAGACCTGCAAAGTCGGGTCGAAACGTTGGCTTTTAATAAAATAGTTTTGCCACTATTTAGTCTATTTATGAGCCCCACCACGGACCACCTACTTCCTTAATAACACAACGGTCAACTATTAAGTATTCAATTAATTTTTTTATATGTTTTTAAATAAAATGTGTTTTTAGGTTCCCTGTATATTCTCATTGAAATTAACTTCACTGTTTATGTATTTTATTTTTATTATTAGAGAGATGAGCCTTTTGTGAGCTAGGAGAAGAATAAATATACTTTAGTCAAGATATTTGAACATTTATTGTATAATTGTACAGGAACTATATATGCTATTACGGAAATGAAACTTTATTAATATTCGCTGCGGTTTTTCAACCAACAGAGAAAAAAAAATGGATGACGGAATAAGTAATGTTCAAATGAAGCGGTTGAGGAAACGATTAACGAACGAAATAAAACTGGGAAGCATCCTCACCCTCCGCCAAAAAGTAGGAACAATTTTTTTTCATTGGGTCATATTAGTTTCTGTGGATAATCTGAGCTAAATTCTTAAGCAATCACATACTCTTTTTTAATTATAACTCATATACAGCTAATAAATGTATGTTTCAAAAAAGTTTATTGATTCTATAATTGTAATTTTTTTTTTTTAAACAGACCTTCACGGATCAGTCAAACGTTATTTTATATGGTTTCTTTCTTTTTACTCCACATTCACTACCATTTTATATAATAATAATAAAACAAAAAAAATGGCCTCCCCCAAAAAACAACTGAATCCTGGATTCGCTACTGATTGTAAATGTCAATTAACGTCATGAAAACACGTAACTTCAACCAAAGAGAGATTTCAGATTTATTACATTTAGATTACATTAAAATACTGATAAAATATGAGCTTTATCTGACATCAATTCATTTTTATTTTCGAAGAATCGCCCTATAAGTTGAAATATCATTTCATGACTGATTTCTGATATAAATTAATTTATTTTTTGTTTGATAATTAATTTTTGATCTAGTTGTCTGTTTTGTTAACGTCTGTTGATGTTGTAACAATAACGTGAACTAATGAACTAATTATTTTACATAACTATTCCTATGCTTCAAGACTTTTAATTTAAATTTAATAAGTAAGTTAAGTATTTTGAAACGATGAAAACTGACTGCGCGTGTTCGTTGGAATCGGTTAGAAAATTGACAAAAATATTGTTTCCTAAAAATTAGAATAACATATATTTACACGAATACAAGCTTATTAAAAAATAAATAAAATATTTTTGTATTTCGAGAACCCTAAAATGTTTAAATTGAGGACATTTTTTTTTAACAGTCATCTTGTCAATGGAGAACCTAGGGAGGCTAGCCTCGATGTTTTATTTAAACAAATTAACTTTTTAATCAACAATTGTTCTAGGGATTAAAAAATTAACTTTTCATGTCTAGGGGTGCCGCTGTCAAGAGTTTCTCAAATTTCGATTATTTCGGTAATTAGGTAGGAAAATTAATATGTTAGTCATATTGGTCATTTAAAATTGAAATGTATTATTTATTTTCGATTCTATAAAATAAACCATCTATAACTGGACATTCTCGACAGAGACACATCTGATCAGTTTCCGGACAGTTAAATATTAATTTATTACTTTCACTTACGTATATATGTAATATATAGTAAGGGTAAGTATTGCGATCGTGAAAATTTTCGAATCTCAGTTTTCAACGGAAATACATGTTTTGAGGTCCCCTGAGTTCAAATAACCAAGTGTCGCAAAATGGTCTGTGTGTGTGTGTGTTAACAGTCTAGCTAAACAAGTCTTACGAAACTGATATTAAGTATTTAAGGTTTGTATATGGGCCGGATGTGACAGCAACTTTTTCGTTAAAATCAGCTAACCGGAAGTGCCACTTTATATGAACGCTGAAACACATTTTTACAATTTTCTCGAAAACGGCTTTAAAGATTTTGATCAAACTCGGTATATCATTGTATAATTAAGTGGTATTTAATATTATTTAGGTCTTATCCCCGTTGATGTCACTTTACAGGGCTTAAATGCCCAATGTTCATATATGTATTCCTCTAAAGTATCTTTAATATGGTTTATTTTAAAATGTTAACCATTTCGGATTATTCAGGGTTACGAAAAAATGCTACATATAACTTTTGAAAGAATTTGGTAAGTTAATAAAGGATAAAAAAAAAATAAAAATGCAGAAAAACCTGCGTTGCTATAGACTGTAGCGCCTCAACGAATGTACCGATTTCAATGAAACTTCGCTAAAGTCATTTTCTCAATACCCTTTAAAAGTATTCGCTTTATATATATATATATATATATATATATATATATATATATATATATATATATATATATATGGGAATATTTATGTTTTTTAAAAGTTTATGGAATTTCCTAAAAAACCAAAAAAAAAAAAATCGTTAAAATCGGACAATTAGGAGGAAAGATATGATTTCTAGTTTTTTTCCCTGAAGAGGCGAAAATTTGGATAAATTTAAAATATATTTTTTTAATTGTTGAGACTAAAAAAACCTTTTTTTACAGATATTTAATAAAGTGTCTTTCCTAAGAACATCTTTCATAAGATATAAGTACCTAAACTTATACCTTTATTCTCAGTTCTATATTTCAATACTGCAATCACCATTTCTGGAATCAACTTACTCATTGTCTCCATAGATAACTTTTTCATTTAAAAATATCACTAAAATGACATCACTCAAAAATGTTGAAATTGGAGTCAGTCATTCTGAGGTTTATAAAAGAAAAAAATGTTGTGTGGTTTATAAAAGCAGATGGAGTGGCTAGATGACTAGACTGTCGTCGATATATTAAATAGACATTTTGTAATTATAATGGTCTTAATGACTTGTTATCTGTAAGCTTTAAGCTTTAGCTCCATTTAAAATGCACTTCAAAAAATTTTATAATAGCCCAGCATTGCCAGAAAATAATTTCTATTAAAAGTAGATCGATAAGTGAAAGTTGTGTGTTGCGCGCACCAGATTTTATTTTTATTTTTAGACAGCTACTAAAAATATCTAACCTATTATCCCATCATTATTATAATAACAATTTGCAAATAGAAATGTAATATTAAATCTTATTTACACTGAATAGTTTCAAGTAGTTAATATCCTTGCAGTACGATATCAAAACTAATCCCTATTTTATCTGTAGTAAATACAACTGGTAGAACTTAGTCGCATTTTACCACTTGCTCACTGCTGTTGTGTTTCGTGTAGATTTTTAATCCCTTTTTTATCTATATATTACTTATTTTTTTAAAAAAAAAAAGATAAAATATTAACTATACAATGAATATCTTCATGTACCTCGCGTGCCACATGATGCACAAGGACGTTACTTTTGGTGTAAAAAAAAGAGTGGTGTCAGTAATCAAAAGGACTGAAATCAAAGTTCAGCTCAAACACTCATTGTATCAAGGTAGTATTTCTAATTTAGTTGTTAACAACTTATTGAAAATTATACATTAATGATTAAATTATTGTTGATTTGATACTATATAAAATTAATTTATAGAAAAATATATATATATAATAAATACAACATGACTTTAGTTCGAGATATGAAAAATAAAGTCAACTCCGGTTAAACGAATTTTCAAGGGAATGTCGAAGTTTTTTTGGGCTCTGCATAGTGTGGGTGCAAATTGTTATTTTTTTAAATTAATAAAAATAAAGCTTATTATTGTATTACAATATTTGTTTGTAATGTAATATAAAAGGAGCATTTTAAGTAGGTAAAGAATGAATAGTTTTATGGTTGATAACATTTTGTCTTGGTTGGACAGTTTCTATTATTGTCGATAATTTTTCGCTGTTACGTCTTTCATTTTTTTTTTCTTCGGCACTGATGTACATTTCTTGTCATATTTTTTTTTCTAGTTCTAGTTGTAGACATAGGTGCGGACAGGTGGGAGTGAGAGGGAGAGGGGGTGGACGGAGGAAGCGAGGGGGACGATAATATCGTTTCGGCCCCTCCCAATATTTCGAAGAAGAAAAATAAAATAAAAATCAATAACAATTAATCTACATGAATGAAACAAATATGTAAACTAACACACTAGCGGATCCAGGATTTAATTTTTTTTGGGCGGGGCTTCAGCCCGAAATTTTTCATAAAAATAACGATAATTACTTACGAAAAAAAGAAAGAAACTAACTACATATATGAAATGGTGTTTAAGTGATTTCTAAAGTCCTTTTAAATGTAATTACACGAATAATAATACTTAAGAGATAATTTTTTTATATTATTTTTCATAAAACATGGTTAAATTTAACAATTTTTTTGGGGAGAGGGGCTTCAGCCCCAAAGAACCCCCTTCCCCCCGTAGATCCGCCCGTGAACTAAAATAAATTAAGAACATTGGAAAAACCGACTAGACGGTTGAGCTAAGTTGGTGAAGAAGTAGGTTCATGAGTACCACTAGCGGATCCAGGATTTAATTTTTTTTTTTGGGGGGGGGGCTTCAGCCCGAAAGATTTTCTTTTCATATACATATAACGATAATTAATTAGAAAAAAAATAAAGAAATTAATTACCTGTATGAAATGGTGTTTCTTGAATGAAGTGGTTCTTGAAGTCCTATTAAATATAATTACACGAACAAGAATACTTTAAGAGATAGTTTTTAATATTTTTTTCTTTAAAACATGTTTATATTTTACCATTTTGGGGGAGGGGCTTCAGCCCGAAAGCCGCCCCCCGTAGATCCGCCTGTGATGAGTACCTATTATTGAAATTTTAGTTTATATTCAAATATAATGTATATGTATCAACATATCCTAGGATCTTATGTTTCATTCATGAGCACTCTTCCATTTTTACGTGAAGATTTTATCACATTTCCCGCGGAAAACTTGAAACATCCGAGAATTGAGAGTTCATCTCACTGCCTCAAACCTTTAAATAAAAATAAAAATATGTAATATTTTTATTGATATATATATATATATATATATCAAATTCTCTTGAGAATCAAGATCTGTTGAGTCCAAATAACCAAGTGTGTGCATGCGTGCGTTTTTGAACAGTCCAACTCGTTAATGAAAAGTTATAGGAAACTGATATTACGTACAGGAGGACCATCGCCGTGTAAGTAATGGAAAACCACTCCACGAATCTAGACAAATATTAAATCCAATTAACACAGAACCCGATTTAAATGAGAGTTGGCTAAGAAAATATATGTAGGTACCCAACAAGTTTTAAGAACAAATAAAAAAATCATTTCAATCTACAATTAAATAATAACTTAAACTTTTATCATAAATACGTTAAAATTAATATCTGACACCTTGGCCTAACTTGATATTTATTTTGTTTACTGTCTAAGAATAAAAGAAAGTTGAGCTGTTGAGAGCATTTCTGTGAAAAGTATTAGGTTCATGTTCGATCAACATGTGACAAAAACAGTAGGAAAAATTCCTTCTTTTTCCTACCAAATATTCAGCCTATAAATCGGTTTACACATTAATATCCAACAATCCTTCATATTACTCATTAATTATATTCTAAGTATTATAAGAGGTAATACTACTAAAAGTGAGCTAATGAATTACTTTTAGTGTGTCGAATTCCGCGTTCACTGAGTGTCAGCATTTTTAATTTTGGTCAATCATATTTCTTGAATCGGGATTCGTTATTTCTTCATAAAGTTCGGTTTCTTTTCACAGCTCAAAATCAAAATTCATCGCTGCTGAGAGGTGTTTTTCCACCTGCGGCCTATACCGCATTTAACAGACTCCAATCAAGAATAAATTTATAGAATAGACATCCATACTGTTGAAATGTTGAAAAACACACCTACCTTCATTAATAATTGCAAGCCACCGGGAGATTAATGAATTCGAGCGGAATAAGTGTCCTACAATAAACGTATTGGTACTTAGTGGCCGCGGAATTTGTAGCTCTACAACTTTTATTCTATGCGTTTTTTTTCTCTTAGGAAACTTATTCTATAATTGCAGGGTCATTTATAGTAATTTGTCCCAGTTTTCGACCAAAATCAGCATTCGTTGACCGTGGTTTTCGACCATATCACTTATAACAAATTAAATTTATAGAACGCACAATTTAACGTTCTTAAAGAGTACGTTTTTGGCTTCGATGTATAATTATTGAAGAGTTAACATGGGGCAATTTCTATTAAGCGATTTTGGATATAGCTAGAGGGGAAGGGGGCATCTCTTATACTTATATACTATAAGATATATAGTATAAATGTAGTAAATCTAGTGGAAAGTAATATATTCAATACTAACATAAAGAAACGCCATAATAATTGTGAAGTAGAAGAAAAAAGATATGTCAAACGAAAAAAAAAAAACTAAGTCTTCATCACTTTATTTAATAGTTTTATTTTAAAATGGTCCTTTAACGTCCATTTTGTACTTAAAATATAATTTTTGACTAATCTATACTAGTATTGTGTATAAATAAAAAAACGTGTGATTATTTATAAATAAAATTAATTTACTATCTTTTTAAAAAATAAAATAAAAAAACGACAAATTGATTTGACATATTTGAAAAAACTATTTCATTAAATGTGAACATTGTCTCCGTTAAATGAGTGACGAGTTTATCTTCACTTACATCATCCCAATAGAGTCCTTTGTTTTGTTTTGTCAGCATGTCGTAACGCGTATAACATCGAGGAGACAAGCTCTGTTACATAATAGCTTACAGCTTCGGTTGCCATTTCCTCAAGATTTGTGCATTTCCCATATTAAGAGCATTAAGATCGCTTTCTTTTCTAAAATTTATTTTGTTAAGGGGGTGTCAAAATTCAAAACTTTGTAAATACATCATTATTAATTTTTACTTTCACTTACGTATATATGTAATATATAGTAAAGGTAAGTAATGCGATCGAGAAAATGTCTTAATCTGGGTTTTTAACAGAAATACACGTTTTGAGGTATCCTGAGTCGAAATGACCAAGTCCCGAAAAATGCTCGTGTGTCTGTGTGTTTGTATGTTAGCAGTCTAGCTCAAAAATGAAAAGTCCTACGAAACTGATATTACGTATTTATAATAGGTATATGCCTTAGATGTGACGGCAACTTTTTCCTTAAAATCGGCTGACCGGAAGTGCCACTTTATATCAACGCTGAAACACATTTTCACAATTTCCTCAAAAACGGCTCTAATGATTTTGATTAAACTCGGTGTATCATTGTATAATTAAGTGTTCCTTAATATCAATTAGGTCTTATCCCCGTTGATGTCACTTTACAGGGTTTAAATGTCCAATGTTCATATACGTCTTCCTCTAAAGTACCTTTAATATGGTTTATTTTAAAAAGTTAATCATTTCACATTATTTAAAGTTACAAAAGATGCTAAATATAACTTTTTAAAGAATTTGATAAGTTAATAAAAGAGAAAAAAAATAAAAATACAGAAAAACCTGTGTTGCTATAGACTGTAGAGCCTAAACGAATGTACCGATTTCAATGAAACTTCGCTAAAGTCATTTTCTCGACACCCTTTAAATTTATCTATATAACATACTTCAACGAAAAGAAGCTGGACAAAAAGTTACGAGGGATGGTAAAATTATATGGCGAATAACTCAAAAAGTATACACTTTTTTGAGGATACTGTATATGGTTTTTTAAAAGTTTATGGAATTTCCTAAAAAAAAAAAAAATCGTTAAGATCGGACAATTAGGAGGAAAGCTATGGTCTCTAGTTTTTTTCCCTGAAGAGGCGAAAATTTGGATAAATTGAAAATATACTTTTTTAATTGTTGAGACTAAAAAAACCTTTTTTTCTACAGATATTTAATAAAGTATCTTTCCTAAGAATATTTTTCATAAGAAATAAGTACCTAAATGTATACCTTTATTCTCAGTTCTAAATTTCAACACTGCAATGACCACCTCCGGAATCAACTTACTCATATTCTGTATAGACAACTTTTTCAACTAAAAATATCACTAAAATGACATCACTCAAAAATGTTGAAATTGGAGTTAATCATTCTGAGGTTTATAAAAGCAAAGAAAATTGTGTGGTTTATAAAAGCAGATGGAGTGACTAGATTTTTATTGCCTGTCGTTGATATATTAAATAGACATTTTGTAATTATAATGGTCTTCATGACTTGTTATCTATAAGTTTTAAGCTTTAGCTCCGTTTAAAATGCAAAAAAAATTATAATAGCCCAGCATTGCCAGAAAATAATTTCAATTCATAGTAGATCGGTAAGTGAAAATTGTGTGTTGCGCCAGATTTTTTTTTTTGTTCCAGAAAACATAAATAATTTATATGCATCGCATGGTCAGTTTATATGATTTCGCTACATTTTAATATAATCTACGGAATGCATCGATATTTACGGTATATGTTTTCGTTGTACAGTATCAACCTTTGTATAAAAATGTAGTTAATTTGGTATTATTATCATTTTT